TCTGCTATTCTAACAGTGCAAACTGTTTACTGCATGGATTAAACACAAACTCATTAAAATAGTGCACAAAAACATTGCATAAGAATGTTCAGTGATCGTGTGGCTGGTCTGCTGAGTTGAATTGAAAGGCTAAGGTGACCTTGTAGCAGAAACTTGCAATGGAGTGCCTGTTTTGCAAAATTGAGATGCAAGCCAGGATAAGCTGCTAAAAATTTGCCGTGCTCCATGTAATGACTTAAGCCAGATTGGGAGCACTTCTTCAGACAAAGGGTAATTGAAAGTTGCTTGTCTTCCCCAAGACACTGTTGAGGCTAGTGGTCAGTTAACAATTTCAAAGCCAGGCTCGATAGAATTTTGCCTGGTAAAGTTATTGAGGATATTGAATCAGAGTGGGTATCTGGAGTCCAGATCAGCTATGATCTAATTGAATGGTGGAAAAGGTTGAAGGATCTGAAAGTTCATACTTTTTCTTTAGTGCCTCATTTTACCTTTTATGATGAGAATAAAATGCCATGAGCTCTCCTCCTAACTCACTGGTTGCATAAATGTTTACCAAATGCACTGGGTCATTGACTATGTAGTATCTTTGCAATGGATCATGTCTTCCTTATTTTGATTCACTGAAGGATCATTTATTGCTGAAAAAGAGAAACATGTTGCTGGAACTTTACATCTTGCACTCATCAGGACAAAGGCAAGAATACCAAATTTCAAATGAACACATCAATTTATGCTATTGGAGCTGATTGGTTAGAGGTGGACTCTCATTGGCTGAGGCATTGCCATGGAAAAAGCAATGGGGAACTGTAGGCTCCCCAAGCTTCCATGTTAATCAATGAAGGTATAAGGCCCGAACATATTCCTTTAGTTGCAGAAAGTCCTCGTATATGTCATATCTTGTAAACATTAATGAGCCTTGTTACAAGCCCAACTGGTTATCTTATGTTGCTTAGAAACCGAAAGAACTGCGGATGCTGTAAATCAGGAACAAAAACAGAAGTTGCTGGAAAAGCTCAGCAGGTCTGGCAGCATCTGTGAAGAAAAAAAATCAGAGTTAACATTTTGGGTCTGGTGACCCTTCCTCAGAACTTGCGTTGCTTGTTTTGACCGTTTTAGCAGTCAGGATTGTTCAACAAGAGATGCCAAATTGCAGAATCACATCTAAGTGCAAATGTTTTGCTTTGAGTTTTGCAACTGTGGGCTAGTTGAGTGTGGTCTGTACCCTTCCTGTTACAAAGGGGAACCTGCTGGTTGATTATGATCAGGTCATGGAAGCCAGTGTTCCAGGACCTGTTAGATCTTCGTGGGGCTTGATCAAAAATCACAAAGTGAGGAGATTCCAGGACAGTTATTTCTGGAGCTAGTTAATCCAAAGACTCTATGAGTTATTTCACACAACATATTCTGTATTTCCATTAAATCTCTATCCTTCTTGGAATGACTCCCTGTCTGGGATTTCCCGGCCAGAGGAAAAACATTTCCGAGTCCTGAACGCTCTTGTGCCACCACTGCACGTTGCCAGGGTGATCTTACCAAACAGTGACAATTAAAGGAGCCACCTCCATAAGTCTTGTCCAAATCAGGACTGCACCCAGTTTTCAGCGTTGGGTTGGTACATTCACTGCGACCTGTCTTCTTGCTGGGGGTGATGGTGAGGGGCCACTGGACTGGCAGTGGGAAACCTTCAACACAAGACAAGTGGCTGTCTCCCACTGCATCTGTGATGGCAGTGATGGAAATATCCATATCTATGGAGTGGCTGCAATGTCATGGCATACAAGTAGAGAATCAGAGAATCCCTACAGTGTGGAAATAGGCCATTCGGCCCAGCAATCCCACCCCAACCCATTTCCCTACCCCTGCATTTCCCCTGGGCACTACAGGCAATTTCCCATGGCCAATCCACCTAACCTGCACATCTTTGGACTGTGGGAGGAAACCGGAGCACCCAGAGGAAACCCACGCAGACACAGGGAGAATGTGCAAACTCCACACAGTGTGTGGAGTGGAAGGGTGGATTGCCCATGGGTGTAATTGAACCCAGATCCCTGGCACTGAGGCAGCAGTGCTAACCACTGAGCCACCATGCCACCCATGTGTTGAGTATTCCTACTGGGAAATGTTTGTATTTCACAGCGCGGGCCTTCTGACATTACCCATTGATTTATGTGATGCAGGGTACCCTTCGTCCCTCATGTTCAATTGTTCTGTATTGGATTACATCAGTCTGGTGACAGATGTATGCTTAATGTACTTGATTGGTTAAACCTGGGTGTGAACGCGGAGCAAAGTAAACTGAGACAACAGAAGCCTCTCAAGGCTGAGTGAGCAATGTGTCGATTATTTTGTCATTGCAGAGATATTTCAAAACATTTGCACCAATTGCACACTCAGTAAGTGTTACCTCAGAATCGCTCTGAGGAAATATTAAATGTATAAAACATGCAATAGCTTCCGGCCTTAATTGAGATCTTCATCTCCCTCTGTCACAAACAAAAACAGAATTTATTGGAAAATCTCAGTAGGTCCGGCAGCATCTGTGGGAAGAATCAGAGTTAATGTTTCGGGTCCGATGACCCTTCTCAGACCTCCCTCTGTCAGTCTGGAAATACCCGTCTTAATTCGTCCAGAGGCAGGGGACACATCAGGAAGCTGTCCTAACATAATTTTGCCTTGTTTTCCCAGGCCACAGTCTTCCAAAACTGTTTCCAAGGGTCCAGGAAGATTCTGATAGTGTCCTATGGACCTTTTCCTCATTTCTAAGTCTTCCCACAGCTTCTCTGCTCCTTAAGGATCACCTCCAATGTTATGTTCCAACTACTGCCCCTGAGTTTGTGCTTGTCGCTGCATTCTCCAATCACCTCAACATTCCCCTTCACACCTTCAATTATCAATCACCATGCCACTGACCTTTGGGTCTCTCTCTATAAACCACTTTGCCTTTCTCTTTCCCTCCGTTCCATCTAAATCATGATAAAACCTCATCCACATGGCAGCCTCAACTCAACCTTCTCCCATTCTCCAATCTCATGTCCCTGCTCAATGTCAGAGAATCGTAGAATCCTGACAGTGCAGAAAGAGGCCGTTCAACTCATTGGGCATGTGCTCGCTCTTTGAAAGAGTTAGTGCATTATTTTTTATTCATCCTTCTCTTAGCCCTATAAAGCTTTCCTTTTCAAGTATATATCCAACTGACTTTTGAAAGTTACCACTAAATGTTCTTTCAACTCTGTTACAGACAAATCAGTCTAGATTATCTCTTTATCTTCAATCTGGTTCTTTGATTAATTAGCTTAAATTCATGGTCATTCTGCTTCTGGTAATGGTTTCTCCCTATCCAAATCCTTCATCTTCATGAAAAAGTCCTCCAATAAATCTTCCCCTTAGCTCTTCCCTGCTCCAATGACAACAGTCCTACTGTTCCTACTCACAAAGGGCTCAAAGTGCAAGCCCCTGTCCAAATACATATTGCTGGTGCATTTGAAACCAATAAAATCAATAAAGAAACATGCAGCAGTCTGTTTTTGAAGTGCTTTACTTGCTGAAGACATTTGTCAATGTGTAGTACTTGTTAACAAAGCAGTAAAACAACAAGGAACTTGAATTGGTGTGGAGTTAAGTTGCTGAGTATCAAAAACCAAACAGACAACAATACAGACATTTTGCAAGACTGTTACTGACCAACAAAGGAAAAGGCAACTTGCATAAACTGTTTTAGTGCCTTAAAATGCCAGGTATATGTATTTTTAAGGAATTATCATAGTACATTCACAGCAATACTTCAATGGCGGGCGTGACACTGGCAAATCGAAAATTCAAGTAACATTTTAAAAGTGAATATCTAGTGTGCTTTTAGTGCTCAATAGGGAAATGTGATGAGGTGCTGCTGAGCAGTCTGTCTATATAATTATATATAGTGAGGTATAGGTACAGACATATGTACACAGTCACATTATGGACCATAGAAAAGCAGAGAACACTTAGCAGATAAGCAGTCATTCAATAAAATAAGTGAGGAGTCTAGGGTTGCCACCCATATGGTTGAAGGAGAGGGGCTGGTCACTGTTTCTGGCATATGACACCCTGATCTGGAGGATTGTCTTCCTGCTCTTAGATCTGCCTGATTTCCATCTTGTTGTTATCCATGCAATGAAAATCTGGCAGGTTTTACAAAAGACAGCCAATCTGCTGTATCAATGGACCAACCAGCCCAGAAAGTGATGGTGATAATCAACCCCTGTGCATTATGTGCCCCATCAGAATTGAGTGGTTAGAGTCAACTGCACGTATTTGCTACTGATACATAACCAAGCAGTTAACACGATCTTTGTGAATTCCTGTCTCTACTATTTTAACACTGTCGTTAACTTCACAGCGGGAGGGTTGGTTAGCTCAGTTGCCTGGACAGCTGATCTCTGATTCAGAAGGACACCAAATAGCATGGGTTTGATTCCTACAATGGCTGAGGCTACCATGAGAAACTACAGAAAGTTTTGAACACAACCCAGACCATCACACAAGCCAACCTTCCATCCACAGACTCTACCTACACTTCCCACTACCTCAGAAAGGCAATCAACATAATCAAAGGTCCCTCCCACCCCAGTTATAATCTCTTCCAACCTCTCCTGTCAGGCAGAAGATACAAAAGCTTAAACACACGTACCAACAGGTTCAAGAATAGCATCTCCCCCATTGTTGTTAGACTTCTGAATGGACATCTCAAATTTCAAATCTAATGTTGATTTGCTTTTTGTGTACCTTCTTTGTAGCTGTAACTTTGTATTTCTTGTTCTGTTCAATCTCCCTATGTTCTTTGTATGGTATGATCTGCCTGTAGTGCACTCAAAACAAAACTTTTCACTGTACTTAAATACACGTGACAATAATAAATCAAATCAAACCAAATCAAATGAAGGATTCTCCTCTACCTCTCCCTTCACCTGAGGGATGGTGACCCTCAGGATAAACCACCACCTATTGTCTCTCTCTCTCTAATGAGACAATGGGACTATGGCGACTTTACCAACTTCAGAGAAGATACAGTGCAGAAACAGGCCCTTCAGCCCAACAGGTCTTTGTTACTGATAGCATTCCAAACAAGTTTCCTCTCACCTTACCTCATCTACCCCTGTCAACGTTCCATTCCCTTCTCACGTGCTTATCTAGCTTCCCTGTAAATGCATTGCTATAAGCTTAGTCTAAATGGGTTAACCCTACTGCTAAAGAGCACAGACAGGAATTGCACAGGTTACATTGACTAGTGTATGCAAGGAGGAAAACACCTCACCATACTCACTTATTTCCTTGCTGACTGGGAGGCATCAGCAAACATCAGAATTAAAGATACAACTCCATCCCTACTACTGCCAAATCCGTGCCTGATTATTATCCCTTCTCATTCACCTTTTTGTGCCCCATCCTGCCCTCATTATTACCAGGGGTGGTGATGGCCTAGCAGTATTATTGCTAGACCATTAATCCAGAGGCCCTGGTAATGTTCTAGGGACCTGGGTTCAAATCCTGCTACAGCAGAAGTTGGGATTTGAATTCAATAAGTATCTGGAATTAACAGTCTAATGATGGCCACAAAACTACTCCTGATTATTGGGAAAACTCCATCCCTTTTGGGGAAAGCTGGTCTGACCTACATGTGACTCCAGACCCACAGCAATGTGGTTGATACTTAACTACCCTCTGTGCAATTAGGCATGGACAATGAATGCTAGCATGGGCAGTAACACCCACATTCTGTGAATGAATAAATAAAATTAGCCTACATCACTTAGCTGACATTATTCCTTCTTTTCCTCATATCTAAGGTATCTGCCTCAATGTAGTAGCCAATCCCAAACCCATTCCTCCATCGCCTGATCCGCACCCTTCCCTTGATCTATCCTATCCTTTCCTCCGACTATATCCGATCTCCTCTCTGAGTTTTTCTGCCCCAACCCTATTCCGTCAACCCCTGCTCTGATCCCATCCCAAGTGTGGTTCCTTTATTAGCCGACATCCTGCTCCAACCTTAAGATAGTTTCTGCCCCCTGATTGTATGCCATCCCCTTGGCCTAGGTCTGTACCACCCTCTGTTTGACCCCTGTCCAATTCTAATAAGAGCAGGATGGATATGTCTGGCGTTAAGACAGATTAAAGGTGGAAACCCTGACAGTACTCCTACTGGTCAAGCTCAAAACCAGAAAGGAACGAGAACAAAGCAGACCATTCAAGGTTTCACAAAGTATATTGTAGGTAACACAGTTGCTGGAGTATCCCTCTGCCAAATATTCACAATTGCAACTGGAATCTTCAACTGGACACCAGTCTGTACGTAGTCATATTCAGCAATGTGGAGACTTTATGAAAATCCTGGATACTTTCCTTTGGAAACCTCCCTGAGTCTATCATGAATTATAGGCACCGTGCAACATGTTCTGTCATCGCTGCCCCAGGATAGGTGCTTCTTCAAGGCTTCCCCTGTCATACGATGAGAACAAATTTTGCTCTGTCTGGTTCCTGTCAGGAGGTAGAACCAAGTCCCAGCGCTGTCTTGTACTTTGAAACTCTGGTGTGCGAAGGCTAACAAGTGAACACGACAATACATGCTATGTCCCAATATCTGCTGCTATGTGCTTGGGGTGGTAAAGTTTCTATCCTTGAGGGTTGCACAGAGCCTTGTGACTCCCATAATCTAAATTCAGATCAAACATTCACAACGGTGGTGCTGAATCCTGATTCAGGAGTCATCTAGCAGAAAAAAGTAAGGTATTGTATTTATAAAGCTGCTTTTACACCCCTAGGGCATTGCAAATCACTTACTGTCAATAAAGCACTTTAGAAATGTAATGGGGAAAATGCTGCACCCCATTTGTACAGAGGAGCATTGAGATAAATAACCCTTGATTATCTCTTGGATAAATATTTGGCAGGACACTGGAGAGAATTCCCTTGTCCTTCGAAATTTTGTTGTGTCAGTTTAATCCCCCATTCAGAAGACAACACCTCCAACAGTGAAGCTCTCTACTGCACTGAAAAATCAGCCAGCAGCTAGTGTCCATGCCTCTGTAATGGGGCTTGAATCAACAGGACAGCCCTTTGCAAATGTAAGGACCAAAAAAACTCAAACGGGGACGAAAGTAGTGAGGAAGAAATATAATGGAATGGTTCAAGTGTCATGGTTTAGGGGGCCTGTGAGGTTTTACAGACACTCTTTTGTTAAGTGTGCTCATGATAACCCTCACACAGAGTTCAAAGTCTTAGTTTACTGTGCTTGTGCTTCCAAGCATCCATTGGATAGGGGGAGTCCAACATACCCATTCAGGTGCCTCAGGCTGTCTGTTCCAAGATAAGCCATCAGGAGCTCAGTGCGACGCTGTATCAAGTGTAAGATGTCCTCAGCAAGACACTCGGTGCTGGTGTACCTCACCTTCTCAAAGTCAAAGATGTCCTTCATGAAGAAAAGAACTTGTTCCTGGGAAAGACATTGCCAATAACCGTTAGCTTATCCATTATTACACTTCACTAGACAGCATCACTGGTTGTAATAAATGTGCCGTTAGTTATCCTTTATGCTAAACTGGTGGTTAAGGTGGGTTAGATCCCATGGGTTGGTTAGCCTAGTTAGTTGGTTGGCTGGTTTGCCACACAGCATGGCACCAACCATGTAGGTTTAATCCCTGCATTGGCTCAGGTTACCTCAAAGATCCTGCCTTCTCAACCGCTCCCCTTGCCTGAGGCGTGGTGACCCTCAGGTTAAACCATTGCCAGTTGTCTCTCTCCAATGAGAGTGTAACCGTATGGTCTAATGGGACTATGCAACTTTACCATCTCTCAAAGCATCTCATGTCCCTATTCCAAATGAAGATTTCTCCCAATGTACTGACTAACATTCTTCCTTTAATCAACGTAATCCTGAGAACAAACCTGGACACCATTTTCCCATTATCCCGAAAACCATGAGAGGGAATAACAATGAGATGAGTTTGCCTTGAATGGAAACTTCACCCCGTCTTCTACCACCTCACTAATTAAGTGCCGGGTGAGAAGGTCCATTAGCAATTAAGATTCTTTAGTGGTCAATTAAAGGTCACTTAAGGACCTCAACTCGTCACTACCTTCCTACCCCCCCATCCCACACCCCGATTATTTGTTTCCCAAATCGGAGTTTAGAAGAATGAAGTGGGATTTCACAGAAACTGTAAAATTCCATCGGACTAGACTGGATAAATGCAAGAAGCATGTTCCTGATGACCATGGAGTCCAAAACCAGCGGTCACATTCTAAGGATACAGGGTAGACTATTTAGGGCTGGGATGAGGAGAAATATCTCCACCCAGAAAGCAGTTCAGGCTAAAACATTAAATGAATTTAAGAAGGAGATAGATTTAGTTATTGGGGCTAAAGTGATCGAAGAGTATGGGGAGAAAGCAGGAACAAGGCACTGAGTTGGATGATCAGCTATGATCATGTTGAATGGTGGAGCAGGCTCGAAGGGCTGAATAGCCTACTCCTCCTCGTATTTTCTATGACATATTACAAATGCAGCAGAAAGTATCACAGGAATTGCAGTAGGCTATTCTGCACCTCAAACCCTGCTCCACCATTCATTTGTTGGTGTACCCAAAAACTATGATTGCCTTATCTTCAGAACACTCAGTACCCTACCTAAAAGTCTACAGATCTCAAACTTTGAAGGCTCCTGTTGTCCAAAGCCATTTTGAGGAGAGTATTTCAGAAATCTACTCTCTTTATATGGAAGGATGTTTCCTCATTTGCCACCGCAATGGCCTAATTCTAACTCAACTTTGAATCATTGACAGGACCTTTCAAATTCTTCTAAGATTTTAAAAACCCTGACAGTTGCTTATATCCTAGGGAAATACATGCCTCGGCTATGCAATCTGTCTTCACAATATAACCCTCTCAGTCCTGGTGAAGCTGTGCTGTATCTTCACCCTCTCACTATATTTTCCTTCCCAAGATATAGTGTCCAAGAGACAGAGTCTAACCAGGGCTTTGTACATCTGAAGTACAACGGTGTCCATCATTGTCATCCAGCCTTCTCCATCACTCACGCTGACAGACACAAAATCACAGAGGTCTTCCAGCACAGAATAAGGCCATTTGGTCAATTGTATCTGCACCAGAACTCCAACTGAGTGCCATGATATAGAGTCGTTGAGTTCTTACAACACAGAAGAAGACCCATCTTGTCCATGCCACTTAGTGCCATTCTCCTGCCCTTTCCCCAATACCCTGGCATCTGATGCCCTCCCTACAACACCCTACATCAAAGAAGGTCTGCAGCAAGACATTTCAAAGAGAAGGGGCAGAATGTTCACGCTGAATGGAAAGCAAGAGATTGTGGTACCTTGAAGAAGCAGCACAAATCGTAGAGGGAGTCTCTGGGCCCTAAGAAGCCCCAGGCGAGTATCGGACTGATGTGTTCACAGACGGCGTAGAAATGAGCAATGAAGCCATTGGGCACCTGTCAAAGTCAACCAGCACAAATGAGAAAGAGGAATATGCAAACTATTCACTGGAAAGCCCAGGAGTAACTGACTTTACCAACTTTGATAAAATTAACACATGACAGACACTAATTGAAGGCCTCCTCTCAATGCTGCACTGAATAGAGTCTCTCTAACTCATTTCACATCCAGTTCACAGAGGAAATGTTTGTCACTCTTGGTAGGACTAGAATTTGAAGCCAGATTCTGAAGGGTGAAGTGCAGTTATCTATCACACTGCCATTTGATACTAAATGGGGGGGCAGTTCTGTTGAGAATGTGCAACTTGTTTCCTTTATTTCTGAGAATCTTATAGAGAAGAATAAACCCATTCAGATCATCGCATATGTGCCAGCTCTTTGAAGGAGCTTTCTATTTGGTTCAATTTCCCTACTCTTTATTTGTGACTCGGCTTTTTCCTCCAATTTCCAATTGCAGGTCAATATTGAATCTGCCTTCACCACCCTTTCAGGCAGTGCATTCCAAATCATGAAAACTTGCTACATCATGGATATTTCCTGTCATCCATCACCTAGTTCTTTTTGCTAATTATTGTAAAACCACATCTTCTGAATACTAGTCCTGCATCTCATCTGTAGCAATTGTTCCTGTCACTGACTGTCAAAATCACTCATAACTTTGAACACCTCTCTTGAACTCGCTTCTTTGCTCTAAGCAGAATAACTTGCTGTTTCCTCAGTCGATTTACATAACTGAAATCCCATGTGCCCTGTGTATGTTAACTAGATATTAACACTCATTGAAGATTCACTTGCGCCACTACAGCTGTTGGGTTGGGAAGTACATATTTCTATTATGGATTTCTGTAAATTATTTCAAATAAAAAAAACCTGCAAAGATTGGCTCCAGTTCTATCTTTCAGCAGCTGGAATAGAACAGTAGTAACATAGGAAATCTGCACACTCCCTAAGGGCTTGATAGCCACTTGTTGTAAGGATCATCTGAAGAATGGCGAGAATGTGAAACTTGCTACCACAGGAAGTGGTTGAAGCGAATAGTTTAGATGCATTTAGGAGGAAACCAGATAAGCCCAGGAGGGAGAAAGGAACACGGGATTATGATAGTAGATTTAGGTGAAGAAAGAGGAGAGGTGGCTCAAGTACAGCACAACATCGGCATTACCTGATTGGGCTGAATGGCCTGTTTGTGAGACATATATTCTCTGTAATATAGGCAGGACCACACTTTTTGACTTCAGGGTAAAGTCATTTAAACTTGATTCTTGTTATATTTGGGGAAATGAATTGTCTCTTTCCATTTTCTTACAGTGTTACATTTTAAGGCAAATTGCTAACAAAGAGGTTGCCCTGTATAAAAATATTGGTGACCCTCACATGGCTGCAATTCATGATTCCTTTAACAGGCCATGATGAAACTTACTTACTTTAGAAAGGATGCAAGGCCATAGACAAAAAGAGATTGACAAGTTTTTTTTTTAACAATTTTTACAGAGCAGATGGAGGCTATTTGGCCCATCATACCTGCATTGATTCTCTGAATGGGAAATTCACCTACTGCTATTCTGCTGCCTTCTCCCTGCAACCCAGCATATACTTCCTTTTCAGATCACAATCCAATTCCACGAACTTTGAATGACTTGATAGAAACTGTCTCCAACACACTCTTAAGTGTCTATTATTGATGTGATTTTTATGTTCCTCAGGCTGTTTTACCAGATGTGGTAATTGTAATGTTATCACCGCAACATAAGAAACTGGGCGTGGATACTGTGGTACTGAAGAATCCAACAGACATTTACTGTAACTAGCTGTTGCGTAGAAACCTGACATTGATCAGGTGCATAAGTGTGTGAGCTAATATTAAGTTGTTACGTTACAGCAGAAGAACATGCTTCAAGTAGACTGTCATGCTTCAAATGATCCCAGAGTAAGATGGTATATTATCCTCAGGTTACATACCATAATACTGCGATGACACAACCTCTTAAAGCTATACTGACATTCTGACTGTGAGACATAACATGACAAAAGTCGGAAGAATAGAGAAACCCTTCAACAGAATGAAGAAAACTAAGAGGAGACCTGATAAACGGTTATGGATAAGTAAATATTTTTATTTAGCTAACAATTTATAACCAAAAGAGTGTAGGGAGAATATACCTTGTTTTACACAAGACAATAGGTAGCACTTGAAATGCTGATCAGAAACAGCAGTGGAAGCATGAGCCCATAATAACTTCTATCAACAAGTTGATGAATTCTGATCCTGCTTCTACCCTGATTACGATAGCTGCCAATTTAGACTCTTTAAGCAGTAAATGAATACCTCATGAGTGTCTCAGCCTGCTGTCTCAGGTTCTGAGCCAGTGCTGAGTAGTAGACTTACCATACAGGGTGAATGCCTTTGCAGGTGTTGGTTGGGGGGTTGAGGAGTCCCTGATTCATACATAGAGGTGCAGGGTGAAGGGGTCAGGTGCACCTGACAGCCATTCCCTTGCTCTTGTTGTTGACCCTAGTTATCACCTCACAGTGACTACTCCCTACCCTGCAAACCCCCTCCCGCTACCATTCACTTGTGTGGCCTGGTACCCAGTGCCAATTGTAGACCTCAGTGGATATGATACCAGCAGCAGCCAACACCCACCGAACTCTTACCCAGACAGGACGTCTGCCCTCGGAGGTCACTGATGCCAGGGATGGACCTCCACTGTCCTGTTAAGTACCTGAGTGGTGCTTGGATGCAGTGGGTCTTCCCTCAAAGAGGCACAGAACCCTCAACTGTCAGGTCTCCAAATCATGGGAAAGGCATCCATCACTGCCACTGACTGCCTCCTGTTTAGCTTAAATGCGATTTAAAGAAAAGGAACTCATTTATGGAATATGGGCGCTTTGGCTGGGCCAGAATTTATAGCCCATCTCCAATTCTCCTGGACATGAGTGGCTCATTTGGGCATTTCAGAGGGCAGTTAAGAGTCTACCAGATTCTACGCACCCAAGCTGCTTTCATGTGTTCCATGCTCTGCTCCTGCCCAATTAGAATTGCTAGTTGCCTCAATAAGACAAGGGTGAGGCACTGTGCTCTACATAGTGCACTTTGGAAATTGTGGGGGCTCCCACAAAGTAGATTTCATCAAATGAGAAAACCAGAGAACCACAATGCTAATATACTGGAGTTCTGTTGTATAAATACCACTTATAATTCCTGAGAGAATTGAACAATTACTTTCTCCCCCCACCATACCCACCTTTATCTGCTGTCTCTTGCTTTTCAGGAAAGACCAACAACTTGAAGCCACAGCCTGAGACAACATAAACAGACGGAAAGGGCTGATCAATCTTAAACTGAGATACAAAGATAACCTCGAGAGGTTAAAGAACATATCACGGCTGATAGCTTACATTAGAAGTGTAGACACTGTTTGTTTTCGATGGAATTGGGGGGTGGGGGCCTAAGGGCATCAGTGGTTCAACAGCGGCTCACCATCACCTTCTGAAGGGCAACAGGGGACAGACAATGTGGGAGATTCCCACGTTCCATGAGTGAATTTTAAAAAAAATTCCACAAATAGTGACCAGAGACTATGGTACAGGTATTGTTAATTGAGATAGGAGTAGTGCCCGAGCTCACTGCGGAGAATTTCCTTTATCCACTTTGGAATAGGACATGGATTGTCACAACAACGAGGGGGAAGGTGGGGCTTCAGCTTACATCACATCTAAAAGACAGCTTCCTCAGCAAGGCAGCGTTCCTTCAAGTACTTTGCTAAAATATCAGCCTGGGTTCTGGCCTCTGGTACCCATGGCTCACTGATTCAGATGGCAGAGTGCGTACTGCCAACTGAGCAGATCCTACCACAGAAGGACATGAATTCTGCAGCACCTACACCTCAGGCACTTTCAGAACTGAGGTGGTGGTGGGGTGGGGGGGTGGTGAGGGGTGATCAGTCTCCCCAGACCGTGTCAGGACTCAGTAGCACAGAATGTTCCAAAATAGTGCAGTTGGTAGCACTTTCAGACAACTTTATGCTCAAGCACCATTTCAAGCCATGTACAACTGGGCTGCTCCGCTCAAATAAACAACATAATTACTGTAACCAATTATGTGGACGCTGTGCAATTTCAGCAGCTATGCAGGTCTTTCCGTTATTTTTATAAACTACACTTTGGCTCGAGGACTGATATAAAATAGGGCGAGCTCATCTCAAACTTCAAGCAGATTTCTGCTTTCCATTGATGTTCCCAATGATCGGGGAATCCAGAACCAGTGTCCCAGACTAAGGATATGGATGAGTCACTTAAGGCTGAAATGAGGAGAAATGTGTTCACCCAGAGAGTGATGAGCCTGTGGAATTCTCTGCCACAGAAAGCAGTTAAAGCCAAAACATGATGTGTTTTCACAAAGGTGTTTTTAAAATTTTTTAAATCAATCATGGGGGTGTGGCCATCATTGGTTGGTCAGCATTAATTTCCCAGCAGTAATTTGCCCAAAGGGCAGTTCAGAGTCAACCACATTGCTGAGAGTCTGGAGTCATATGTAGGCCAGACCAGGTAAGGATGGCAGTTTCCTTCCCTAAAGGACATTAGTGAACCAGGTGGGTTTTTCCCTAACAATTGACAATGGATTCACAGTCATTATTCTTAACTCCACACTTTTACTGAATTCAAATTCCACCATCTGCCGTGGTTGAATTCAAACCAGGTCCCCAGAACATTGCCAGGGTCTCTGAATTAATAGTCTAGCAATAACGTTGCCATAATACCATCGCCTCCCTTCAAGATATATATACATCAAGTTAGATATTGTTCTTAAGGCAAAACGAATCAGAGGTGATGGGGAAATAGCAGGAACAGGGTACTGAGTTGAATGATCTTATTGAATGGCCGAGCAAGTTCAACGGGCCGAATGGCCTACTCCTGTTCCTATTTTCCAGTATTTGCTGGCCATCCAATGTGCCCTTGAGGGGCTTTCCAGGCTGTTTCAGAGGGCAGTTAAGAGTCAATACAGAAACATGTGGAAAAGCTCAGCAGATCTGGCAGCATCTGTGGAGAGAAGTCAGAGTTAATGTTTCGGGTTAATGTTAACCTGAAACGTTAAATCTGATTTGTCTTCAACAAATGCTGCCAGGCCTGCTGAGCTTTTCCAGCAATTTCAGTTTTTGTTTCTGATAAATAACATCCACAGTTCTTTCGGTTTTTAAGAGTCAGTATATATTGTTGTGAGTCTGGAGTCACATGCAGGCCAGACCAGGAAAGAACGACCAATTTCCTTCCCCAAAGTATAGGAGTGAACTAGATGTGGTATTTTTAAAACAATAAATTGGAATGGTCCCTATGACCGAGATTTGATTTATATTCAATTGTAAATACAATGTTGCTATAGGGAGACCACCTCTCCATTCTCCATCTCACCCCACCACCATCTTACCAGGGTAACTAAGAATTTGCAATACTTGTACTCTGGCTAATGCCGCCCACCTCCCAAAGAAATAAAAATCTTAGGCTTCTCAAACAATCGTCATTTCCAAAAATAATGTTTTTGTAACAAATTTCCCCGACAGAATGTTTCCTCTCTCTCGCATACACATATAGTAATTTGATCCCTGTGTTATTTTTCTTCTAAGTTTCACTTAAATTTATTTCGTCTAATTTGCAAAGCCAGTTCTCTCCTGATGACCAAGACTACTTAAGGGTTCAACTGGGACATCCCCCACCCCACCCCACCCCTCCACCCCCCACCCCAGGTTCCTTCCCCACAACGGATCAATTTTTTCCACATTCGAGACATAAACAAATGATGACTTGAACCCTTCAGACATGTTTGCTCGGTGAGATGTGTTTCTCTGTTATAATTCAGCATTCTGTTTCAGAAGCTGACGTTTTCTATCTGAGCTGCATACCACAGTAAGGAAATACTTATTCTTTTTAGACACAAAGCCAGAGTAGAGGCCAAAGAAAGCAATGCCGTTGCCAAGTTCTTCGCAATATATCTCAGAATACTTCAGATTACTTTAACCAAAACCATGCAGTTGAGGTATGTGAGCTGGTTGAAGAAACTCAATTTTTTTTTAAACTCGCATACTTTGGATGGCTAGGTTTGCAGGAATGTAGTATGTCCTTATAAGGTATTAACCCACCAAGAATAATGAGAGTCTTGAAATATCCCTCAGATAGTAGTCGGTGAAAACTAGTGTTTACAGCACAAAATGATCATTTGCTCCATCTGTTCTATGTCACCTTTTCTGTTCCACAAAAGCCCCATCCCAACTTTTACCATCAAATACAAGCAGCATTTCCTTGGTCCGCATGTGTTTATCAATATTCCCCTCCAATACAGCTACATTATTCTTCTTAATTCCTTCTGGAGTTCTACATTCTCACCATTCTCTGCATGAAGGAGTTTCTCCTGAAGTCCAAATCAGATTTATTGGTTAATATCTTACACTGGGGAAGGTGGTTACTGTTTTACACTGGGGGAGGTGGTTACTGCCTTACACTGGGGAAGGTGGTTACTGTTTTACACTGGGGGAGGTGGTTACTGCCTTACACTGGGGGATGTGGTTACTGCCTTACACTGGGGGAGGTGGTTACTGCCTTACACTGGGGGAGGTGGTTACTGCCTTACACTGGGGGATGTGGTTACTGTTTTACACTGGGGAAGGTGGTTACTGTTTTACACTGGGGGATGTGGTTACTGCCTTACACTGGGGGATGTGGTTACTGCCTTACACTGGGGGAGGTGGTTACTGTTTTACACTGGGGGAGGTGGTTACTGTTTTACACTGGGGGATGTGGTTACTGCCTT